GAATCCTACCAGATAATATAGACAGAACTTCACAAGACTTACTTATATGTATGTTGACAGCTGCCAGAGTAATATTTGCAATGAAATGGAAGATAAAAGACTGTCCTACAATAGAGATTTGGAAAGAAAAACTAGCTGAGTATGCAACATTGGCAAAACTAATTATATAAACAAAAGACCATTGAAAGAATTTCAGCACAAATGGTAAGCTTATTACTCACATTATGGGAATAGCTAACTTTTTTTTAGTTCTGGAATTATCTGAATATCATATTAAAGATGATGAAGATATTGATTATAGTGTCAATATTTTATTCTGTATTCCACTAGTATTTAAATAATTCGTAAGAGTAAAATTTATATTTAGACAAACAATTACGACAATATTTAGGTTTTTTCAATGATTTAATTTTAGTGTAGAAGTTCGTTCAACTGTTAAAGATGTAATCTCTTTTATTGTTAATAGATTATTGCTTACTTTAGGAAAGTTCTTGTTTATTCTTTAAAGAGAGAATTTATTCCAAAGTTCTGTAATACTGATGTTTTATTGTCTATTTCTATATTTAAAATATGTAATACATTTGGTAATACATCTGATTTTACTTGTTGTACGTAACAACTCATATTTGACAAACTTGATGAATCTATATTTCCCCCCACCCCTTCTTACCTTCTGTATCTCACCTTTTTTCTTGAGAAAATAATAAAAAATTAAATAAAAAAGAAACTGCTTTATCAAGCAATAACATTATTTAAACTTCTCACTTGATGGAATCTCACTAGGTACCTAACGACAAACTCACGACTCCCTCGGTAACTTTTTTGGTAGAATTTGAAAAATGCTGTATTGTTTACATTTAAGGCACACACACTTACTAAGAGAGTACCAAATAAATCAGTAACAGTATTGGGTACCCAAAAAAAGGCAACACATAAAAGCAATACACTATCAAAGGTCTTTGTCACTCTTTGGCGGCACCAGATTTCTAAATAAAATAATGTAAGACCAGCAAACTTTCGCCTTGCAGCTGAAACAGTTTTGAAGCATAACATCCTTCAAATAGTATTTTGGGTCCAGGAACTAATTTCCCTTGGGGAATATCACTGACCGAACCAAATTACTCTTACTTGGACCAGAATTAGGCTACATAAAATCCAAAACCTTCAATTTAAAACAAATGGCAAGTCACTAATGATCACTGTGTTCTAGGAAAAGCCATTGTCCCTTTAGGACAAAATGACAAAACAAAATAACTCTAAACATGATAAATCTCTTTGAAGAATAACTAAAAAAAACCTATGTAAAAACGAACAACCCTGAAAACAAGCTTTTAAACCAACTTCAATAGTTCTCAGAGGTATGAAGAACCCAAGGGTCCCAAAAATCTCCTTATCAGTTTAGGCTAGTCTGTAAACTACAGTTTTAAGTCAGGCAAGTAAGCCCCCTGCTAATGACTTATTAGAAAATCCATTTTACAATCCTAATGCCATTCTGAAGCAATTTAGGATGGCAGTTAAGTCCCTCTCACAACATATCATGCAGAATGCCCACATACTCTTCTGGCATAGGGACTGGAATTGGGCAGCACATATCAAGAACATCAGTATCTTAAGTTCTCTTGGCCCAGAGTCCATCCCCAGCACGACTTGCTGATTTCAAAAGAAGTGGCTTAAATCTAAATACTCCCAGTTAACTCAAAGGGAGTAGAAAAAAGCTCCCCTCCAAGCTTCATACACAGAGTCTCCTGCCCTACCTTAGGAGTCTAACTATACAGCCAATCATAGCTCACTAAAGACATAAACAGGACACATATCACGTGCAGGCTTAGAACACCTCTCCATCCTCCAGGAATTCTGCAGAAAGGACATTTTCGCAGCAACTTTCCTTCTAATCTTGGGTTCTAGGGATTTGCTCTTACAATCATTTGCTCTGACAATGCAGTTAGAAGTAAACATATGGGTATGTTGGGAAAGGTGAGTGACTGGAGATGAGCTTGAGTTGAAACTACAAAGGAAAACCACTGGAAGAACAATGGGTACCAGGAGGAAGTGGTAAAGAGATGACATCCAGAAAGTGAACAAAGGCAGACGAAGAGAAAGAGAAACCAAGGCAGGAACAAAGAAGTGGAGCAGTGTGCAGGGCATACAACAGATGGGTTGATGGTAACTGCCGATGTGGCTCTCTGACAGTCACACAGTAGTGAGTACTACTGATCCATCACATACAGGTAAACGAGGAAGGGAGAATCCACCCCTCAGAGTTTAACTCCTGAAAACATGGCTATTGTATTAACAACCCTTCCTTCACCAGCAATTGCTACCAAAGTCTCTGAAAGGGAGCACATGGCAGATTTGAACAAATTTGCTGCCATGATATCACCACACTGCATGAATCATATTGTGCCAATGATCCCACATGTAGGTAGGGGAAACAGGGAGCACAACCACACTTCTGGGTGATTTACCAGCCACTCCACTTCAATCATTGCTAATGGTGGCCCAAAAATCAGTACCCCCTTTCACCTCAGAGGATCACAGCCTTGCTCCAAGCAACAGCACAAACTGCAGACAGCATTCCAATGCAACTTCTTACAGGAGATGGGTGAGTATTGGACCAGGGACTACAGTATCTCCCCCAACAGGTGGATCCCAAAGTGTCAGAAGTCCCAAGGGGAGAGGGAACTTGAAGACAATCTAGGTGTTGCAATTCTCTCAGCTGTGTAGCTCTCCACGATGCTGCATTGTTCAGCAGCTGCAACAAACTGCATGACTCATTACAGTCCCAGTGTATCTCCCAGCTCTTTCCAGGCAGCCCTCCAACAGGGGTAAAGGCAGAGACAGAGCCAGTCAACAGAGTAGTGTCAAACATGACCTGCCTGTTGTTTTTCTGGGTTATGGATTTCAGTCAAATGGTTGCAGGTTCTTTGGCAGCACCCCCCCTGGTGACCACTCTAAAGCAGCACCTACCTGCAACCCCTTGATCCAGAGGATCAGCAGGTGGAAGCACTCTCCTGAGTAAGAATGCATCAAGCTAGATGGCACTTTAAGCGTTATACTAAGAAGAGTTACACCCCGCGAAGCCCCTTGACTTCAACAGAGAAAAGTGAATCTTTGTTAAGGATTGTACCGTCAGTCAGTTTCCAAATAATGTTTCAGCCAAGGAGTCAACATTCCTTAATTTTTTGTTCAGGAATTTACACTAACCAATTTTATTAAGTTTGTCTTTTACACAGCTTTATTAATTTCAGTTCATTTGAAGAGTCTGCTAAAATCACAAGAAGCCAAAGACAAATGTCATATCTTTATATAGCTTGGATGTTATTGGCTGCATCCCCCACTTACAAAATTATTAGGCATATTCATCTTATTCTTGTCAACACTGAAGTGTTGATAGCAAGACTAAACCACATTCATTTACTTTAAAAATTAAATTACACTTAACATGACATTTACAGAGTGCCTTTTATACTGAGACTGGAAGGTTTTTTTGTAGCTGTTCTTTAACCATCAGACTAGCAGATTTATCTGAAATGGAATGTTACTTCCAGGGTGTACTGCAACAATCAGACTAACTTTGAAAGCAAGTCCTGATTATTACAGCCTAAATCTACAATCCCCTTGGAATTAAATCCCAATTAACAAAGTACAATTTACTACAAAGTAGCTGAGACTGAGAAAATGGCATAGTATGAAAAGGTTAACACCAGTCAATCCCTAACAGAATCAGAGCCTGCTGTAATTGATTTAAAGTAAAACAAAATGTTGAGAGATCTCCTGTCTGATAAGTAGTTTTGCCTTAAGTTTGAAACTATTAATTACATAGAAATGTTTTCTATACAGGAAATGTGTTATGGCCCTTACCAAAAAAGTCCTCCCCTCCCCCCTTTGGTACATCTTTTTATTCATTAGCACAGCTATTTAGTATTTTAAAACATTCTGGTTTAGTAGAATAAGAGAGCTGCATATACTAGTTCTGAATAGAAGAGGGGAAAGGATGGAAGGATAATTCTGACAATACCAATATTAATTACGGCAATAAAACCTTCCTTGCATGCTTTTCTCATGTACAGAGAAAAGCAAACAATTTCACCTGTTTTAACTTATTTACTTCATTTATAATGCATCTTTCTCCCCAGTGGGGGACCCAACATAGTTTACTTACATTGTTTAATTTCCACCCATTGTTAGGAAACTTTTGAAAGGAGCCTGGTTTTGAGCAGAATACAATACAGGGGAAGAGCATCTGCTTTGCATGCAGAAGGTCCCAGGTTGAATCCCTGGCATACCCAGCTAGAAGGGCCAGGTGACGTGAAAGACCTCTACCCAGGACCCTAGAGACCTACTGCTAGTCTGGGTAGGCAAATACTGACCTTGATGGACCAATGGTCTAATTCATTATAAGGCATCTTGTGAAAAAGGTGAAATCTGAACTAGCTACCTGATTCCTTAAATATGAAAAAGAATACAAGGAATTGAGGAACAGAAATTCAGAATAAGTAAATGTAGGACTTCAGTCTTACTATTCTCAACAAAAACTGCATATGTGACAGCAACATCTGTTCCCCAAAAATCAAACAGCCCAATCCTAACATTTACTCAGAAGCCTTACTGAGATCCCATTTCTTTTATAAGGCAACTTAGAAATGCTGCAGGAGCTGCTTACTGCAATCAGGGGGTTAATTCTCAGGAAGTGTGTTTAGTACTACAGGTCGAACCCTAAACCCACTCACTTGGGAGCCAGCATTACTGTGGGCATCACTTGGGAATACGCTTGCATCGGATGGGGCGATAAAAACTGCTCCACCAGTTGCTCCCCCAAATTGGAGCACCACAGAGCCTTCTGGGCAAAAGCAGCAATCCTCTGCGCTCCGAGGCATGGACTTTCTCTAGAGTAGGCAGCGGGAGTCCCGCAGCCTCAAGCACCGGAAGAGCCAATCAGAGCCACTTCCACTAGAGAAATAGGAAAGTCCCGGACTGCTGCCCCTTTCGGGCTCTCTCACCTGTGGAAGTAGTGGCCGCAAAACATGCCGCCGAGCAGCCTGCAGCCCAGCGGTGCGAACCGTGGCGGGCTGCGCAGCGCCAGCAGGAGCACGGGCACCAAGAAAGCCGGCAGCTCCTGTAGGAACCAGGCGCATTTGGCGGGCAGGTGGAGGCGGCGTGGTTTCTGTTCGGGCGGCTTCTCCCCCGTCTCCTCCTCGGCGTGCTTCCCGTACCGAGTCGGCGTGCGGCCGTAGAGCCAGAGGATCAGCATTCCCAAGGCGACCAGCGTGGCGCTGAGGGCCACCACCAAACAGGGCGAGCACTGCATGCTCCTCGCGAGGAGGCGCTCCGCGGCAACGGAGGCGACGGTCGGGCAGCCCTGCCATTAATAGAGTCCGCCGCCGCC